CTCCACATCATTGCATTCAGTTTTTATTCACAATTTGTTTAGTGTCCCAACTTTTTTGGAATCCGGTTTATATATTGCTGCCATAAAATTAGAATTACGTTCTCCCAAAATAGTTCAGTTTATTATTTTAAACATTTGACGTATTCTCTAAAGTTAATAAAATGTGAGTTTATGAAATTGGCAAATAAGTGCATTTAGATTTTTTTTTGCATTTTTATACAACCTACCAGCTGTTTAGAAATTAGAGGGGTCACAATTTTAAAACTATGTCAGAAGTCATCAAATAGTAACAGTTGCTTCATGCAGACTTGATTTGTTTCTTCAGTGCAGTGCTTTTCAACTCATTGTGCCACCCTTGAGTTTAACAAGGCTAAATCAATGCACCAACTATTTGACTGTAATAATAATAATAGTAGTAGTAATAATAATAATAATGTGCATCAACATCCTTAAGAGTTACTTTTTAAATAAATTATATTTATTTGTTGGGTCTGAAGAGTGTAAACTAGTTTTTGTGTTGTTTTTGTATTACTATTTTTTTAATGAAAATAGTTTAACAGGATCAACAAAACTTTAAAACAGCAGCGTGTAAAATGTATTATCTTCCTCTGATGTACTACAACTTTATAATCTAAAAATATTTTTATTGTGTTAACCACTTTGCTTCTCTTTCTTGCAGAATGTACCTGAAGTTGATGCAGAGGGCTTCTGTATCAGACCTGAAGTTAATGAGAATGATATCCTTTGGATGAAGCTCCCACACTGGGCTTACTTCACCCTGCAGGACCGGACCGTAGTCTGAGGCCTGGCTCAAATGAAACCCATTTTCCTCTTCTCTTCATCTTCATTTTATTAGTTATTTTTCTTAATGTGTCTGCTCACATGCCAAAGACAATTCCTTCTATTCGTCCAGCGATTCAGAGGACGAAGACGAGCCCAGGAAGTTCCACGTGCAGATCAAACCCGTTCAGCCCAATAACGGTACTCATCAGAATCGAGCCAACATCGACGAGCTCAAAGCCTCCATCGGAAACATCATCCTCTCACCTTCAGCCTCGGTATGACTGCATGAAACAGACAGAACTTGGTGTTTCTCTGCAGGAACACTAGAGGGCAATAGGAGAATGTTTTTCACATTCCAGTCGGTACTTCAGTTTGATTTGTTTATGGTCTCATTAGTTTATAAGTTTAATAACACATTCACATTTATTTTATGTTATGAATTTAAACTTTTTTCATTTGTATTCTTCTAATAATTGTGTTAACCACACAGAAAGAAACTATACCCTCAGATCTACATGCACAGATAAAACAGGAAGTAAAACATGCTGACACCAGTGTAATACAAGTACATGCCTCAAACGGTGAAGGTTGAAGGATTCACTTATTTTATCTTTTTTATTTATTTTTTCAGATTTTTAGAACTTTACTGAGTTCAGTTTCTACTTTACACAATATTCAATTTTCATTTAGCAGAAAATATATGAGAAAGGAATAATATCATAAAGCACGTTGTATATGTTGCCATTAAATAAGTTTTTAATATTTCTCTAAAACAATATTTTAAATCTTTACAAGAGATGTACATGTTTTCAATTCATTTCCAAGTTACCTCCAGTAATCCCCCCCCCCCCCCCCCACACACACACAAATGTTTGTCTTTCTCTCTTTACGGGAACTTTGCCTTCACTTCCGTCACTTTTTCAATCATTTCTGTAGGTTCTTTATTGTCATTCGTACCACATGTGGTACATGTGGTGGAACAAAATTGTGTACACAGCGTCCCAGTTACATCCAGCAAAATTATAAAATGTAAAAGAAAAACATTAATAAGATCTAAAATATGAACTAAGAAAAACGTTAGCTAAAAATACGCTAAGCACTAGTAGTACAAAAACAATACGCCGAACAGCAGCACGAACATGAGTCTGTGTGAGCAGATGTGCACGCATGAACACATCAACATTGAAACAGATCAGCAGCAACATGATGTGATTTCCCACAGTGATTATCCTGATTACAGATTCATGGGTCTAACAGTCTCAGGGTAGAAGCTGTTCCTCAGTCTAGTGGTTCTACACTTAATGCTCCTCAACCTCCTTCCTGAGGGGAATAGGGCAAAAAGTGTGTGTGCTGGGTGAGTGGGGTCCTTCATGATGCAGTTGGTCCTCTTCCTGCATTTGGAGGTGTAGTTGTCTGTGATGGTGGGGAGACTGACTCCAACAGACGTCTGTGCAGCCTTCACCACTCTCTGCTCTCTGTTACATCCAACAATAGCAAAAATATAAATATAAAAAGAAACCTTAAATAAGGATCTACGATATTAACTAAGATATACACTAAATGAACGCCCAATGGTATACTAAAAGATCTAAGATATACACAAGTCACTGATAGTGCAAAACCAAACACCAAATAACTGCAGCACGGACATGAGTCTTTGTGGGTGGATTAGTAGGAATGAATGAATACAGCAGTATGAAATAATCAGCAGCATGAGATCAGCATCATGGCTAATCATCAGCACATATCAACAATCAAAGCAATCAAACCTAACCATAAACCATCTGATAATAATCATAACCATAATCTTAACCTAAACAATCAAACCTAATCATAACCAGTACATACCTAACCCTTACACATCCTCAATTCACACCTTAGCTCTAAACCTGACCCCTGACCCACCAACGACACTTAAACATTATAGGGACCAGACTTTGGTCCTCACAATATAGTATGTGTTGGAAAAATGGTCCTCACAAAGTAACAAAAAAACAAACAAACACACATACACATATAATATACACATATATATATACACATATATATATATATATATACACACATATATATACATGTGTGTGTGTATATACATATGTGTATATATACACACATATATATATATATATATACATATATATGTGTGTGTATATATATATATTTACATATACACGTATATATATATATACATATGTGTGTGTATATA